TGTCTAAAAGGCTTCACTGGAAAGCTCTCCGGCCGCCCTGCTGCATTAAAATTCCTGCCGGCCCAGCATCTAGCTGAGAACACTTCTCCCCAGAGACTCCACTTTCGCTATTACTGTCAAGTACCCTTGACTCTTTATTTTTGCCCTTTTATCTATTACAACTAATTCGAGTTCTTTTGCCCTTTTCAGTTTAAGACGTGGCTTTCTGTAAAGCCTCCCCCTGCCACCGAGATCTCTGGGTGCAGAGCCTTTAGAAATTGAGGGGTTTACTGTCAAAATGAAAATTTCACTTCAAATTATCTTGGCTGATGCACGTTTTCCAGGCCGGGGGCTCCTGTCTCAGCCTTTTGACAGCCAGATCAGCAGCGAGGTTCAGTGATCTCGATAATATCATCCAAGAGAGCGAAAGTCAATACAATGACAGGGAATATGACTGGATACAATCCAATTACAGCTGCTTTCAGAGAGGGGAAGGGTTTGTTCTACTCCCCACACCCAGATTCCTTTATTCAATTGCTGCACTAACCGGTCTCACTCTAAAGTTTGCGGGCTAGTGTGTTTTATATTTTAACTACTGTAGTTGCTGTCTCGAGATTTCTTTACAAACTCCTGGGGGTAGCGCTCCTTTTCATTTCTGGTCTTTGTTTTATTTTGCGGGGGAGGAAGTATGGGGAAGGATGCAGGGTTTTTTTCATGTTCCTACTTCAGTCCCATTATGAGCGTTTAACTCTTGCCCACACCAGTAGATAGGGCTGCTCTGGATTGTAAACTGGTATTTTAAGAAGATTATTTTTCTTATTTCTGTCAGGTTTGGCTTATCGTTTCTTTATTTTCCCCGGCCTGAGGAACAGAAAGTTTGTTTCTACTCCGCGATTGAAAGGGAAATGTTTAAAACGCTTGTTATTTAACTGGTAAATTGGCAGCGAGACCTCCTGAAGCACACGGAGAACGAGCTTTTTCTCTTGGCTGCACTCTATTTAATGTCAAAACGGTAAAGCATCTGTCCTGAAGTGCTGAAATATTCATGGAGAATCAACGATTCTTCATACTATCAGAGAAGCTTGAAGCTAAAACGGTTCTTTAAAATATCAAATTTTCCATGTGAATCAATTGCTTCGCACTCATAAAAAGAGACTCCCCTGCCACAACGGCAAACACTGGGTCCCGGGGTGATTTTCCCCAGCCTACTCTCCAAGATCCCACCTCCCCCTTCTCAGGTTTATGCGGCGTACACTGTCTACCCTTAGTGGGCAGCTGGAGTCTACTTTTTTCTCTTCTTCTATTTTCTCCCCCTTTATTTCAGCAAATCTAGAGCACAACTACACTTCTCTCTCCTTTCATATCTATCTATCTATTTATCTAATATTGTTTTAAAGTATGAACATTTAACTCCTGTTATTGTTTTTCTTTCCCCCCTCCTTTCTCGGGTGACAACTGTCAAACTCAACAAATGTAATGATGGATGGCCCTGTGTTTCTCTAGCAGAGAAGGGCTCTTGAGACTGGACATCCATATTCCAGTGTAACACACAGTATTCATTAACACGGCGTTCTTTAACAGAGTACAACCAGGTAAATGTAGTGTTGTACTTAAAAGCATAACAATAACTATCTGTTTAAAGGCGAAATCTTAGACCGTTATTTGCTCAAGGATCTCCGAGTTTAGAACCTCCTGGATTCCTTTACATACACAGAAAGAGAAAAAAATAAGGCCCAATAAAAAAGTATCAATATTTATGATTTAAATAAATTTGTTTGCAGTTATGCTAATGATTTATTGACATTTTCATGAACTTTTTCTAGTATTAATGCAATCATCTTGACATTACTTTAAATTACTAGAACATCTATGAACACATTCTAAAACTGGAACATATTTATTTTGTAATGCAAAACGCCACCACTAATTTTTACTTCTGAAACAGACAATTTATTGGAGTGAACATACTTTTTAAACATGTTTGTCAAGGTAAATTTGTGCAATAGTGTAAACTTGGTATAAGTGCCGTTTGTGAATTATATGATAACAATGAAATCAGAAGGAAAAAATCTGAAAAGTCTTTATAACTAATATTGGCATGCCTTAAATTAAATATCTGAATTTAAATTTCTCGTTTGTAAACTTTTGGATGTAAACTTTTAAGTACACCTACACTATAGTACGTGCTTTTAGACATGGAGTTAAATTATTTTTACGACATTGATCCCTTAAAGTCGCTGCCAACAGAAATTCTTCAAAACAGCAATGAGTAAAGTCTGCCCGTTTAATTAAGCAAACTGAACGTTAAATCGTTATCTTTGTTATTTTTAAAAAAATTATATTTAAATTTAAATTCTTCCAAATCTCTTTTCAGTGTATCCCACTCTTCAGGTGTTAGAAAGTTCTTTGCCACTTGGGATGTTGTTAAGAACAAAACATTTTGCTTCCTGATTTGGGAAATGCAAGAAATTCTTTATTTGAGTCCTGGTGGGATAAGTTTGACAGTTGGCCTTTGAGCACGTTAGTACTGTTCCCAATTGAGCGTCCTAAAGATCCCGTTTCCAGAATAGCCCCTTTGGTGGTAGCCCAGGAAACTGTTGTGTTGCTCAAAGCTTGGTTCAAAGTACTGTGTCTGAATATGGGGTCATGAAACACCCCATCCACCCAGTTCCTGAGATTGGTGACTGGGGAATCCTGATGTCTGTCAATGACACTAACAGGAGCAGAAACTGCAATGGAGGAGGAGACTCCTTGGCGTTTCAGCATGCAGGAAGGATACTCAGTTTGGTTTAGAGAAGTGGCAGTGTGAGCTAAGGACCAAATCCTGGGTTTTGTCTCCAATATTTGTTGCCCCTGCTGAAAACACATTTTGGACTCACAGCTTCTCTGTCTTACATTGGTTAAGTCTTGCTCACATTCGTCCACCACATTCTTGAGACAGTTTTTAGCCCTCTCCAGGTCTTCTTCAATGGTGGCCGCCGGGATCGGCTTCTTTAGAGAAGGCTCCTTGCAATGATTAGTAGCACTTATCTGGTTGCTCTCCAGGTGCTGGAAGGGCTGTTTCAATTCGCATTCTGAGCTCTCCGACTCAATGGGGTCAAAGTCATCCAAATCACTCAGTTCCAGCTCTTTTTCTTCTTTGCTAGTGGCCTCTGCAGGAATGGGAAAACAGTAAACCATACGGAATAAATAGCACCGCAGTGCTTCTTTAAAGTAATAGCATCTCTAAAGATCCGAAGTACTGTTTAAAAGGGTGTTCCTAATAAAGACTACAACTGCAATTCTGTAGGTATGTTTCTAGGCTATGTGCAATTCATAAGTATATCCTACCCACTCATGCAACAACATTCATGATAAAAACAGTCAAAGGGGAAACTGAAAACTGATCTGGCTACTCTAGAATTCTGCTTGTTAATTGTAAATGTATATATAATAAGATACCATCGTTTTTCTCGTTCTTCATATTGTCTTCCTGTGACTCTTCCTCCTCTTCCTCTTCGTAGGATCTCTTCTCATCGGAACACTTGTTCCTTGGAGGCCAGGTCATCTTGTTCTCCTTTTTCAGCCTCCTCCTGGCATTGGCGAACCAGGTGGAGACCTGGGTGAGGGTCATTTTGGTGATGATGGCCAGCATGATCTTCTCGCCCTTGGTGGGGTAGGGGTTCTTCCTGTGCTCCTGCAGCCAGGCCTTCAGCGTACTGGTGGTTTCACGAGTAGCGTTTTTTCTTCGGGTGCCTCCGTCCATGGTGCCATATCTGTAGTCCACAAGACATAAATCACACCATATGAAGACCATGTCAAAGATACAGCGAGGTGGTCTTTGGGCACCTGATCCAAAGCCCACTGAAGCCAAAAGAAAGATACATGGGGCTTGGATCAGGTCCTAGGAGAGACCATTAGTGGTACCTTCTTCTAGCACTAATCAGTGTCGGAAGAATACTGTATCAAAACCTAAGGGGCCATAAAAGGCTTTTAGTAATGATTTACCCCAACAATTCAATAGTAAGAAAGAAGCAATGATAACATACCATTTTAAAATGAGGAGTACTGGGCATACGGAATGTTTTAATTCAATTATACAATAACCTTTGAAGAACAAATAGAAAAGAAAATGTCTGTTTTTATTCAGGTAAATTGCAAAGTCCATTTTAACAACTTGTGTGACAGAAACATCTTAGAAACGCACAGACCTGCACACAAAAGTTCTGCTTTTCAGCTGTTTGATAAATCCTGCTCAAATAAAATACATTTAAGTGACCTCAGGGTGTAACTGTTAACAGAAATATATTTCCTCCTTATTCCTTTTATTAGTAATCTCTCCTACCCTTTTGTTCCTGAAATTGTAAAAACGTGACGCAGAAGACACTGGACTGCACCTGAATATTTAATGCACATCATCCAGGAAAGGTCATCGGCACCCAGTGGGCTTAAAAGGTTGAGATGGTTTAAGTGGTTTTGTGCTGTTTTAAAACTAATAAACATACCGAAGATAAAAGGGCTGTTCAATTTAACGCACTATAGGAAAAGCTAATTAATACAAAAAAAAAATTGACTAGTGGAAAGTATAGCTCCTTGAAAAGTAAAGGACCAGGTGCTGGGTTGGGAGAACAATGTGTTTAAACATATACTTAGAAAAAGTTTCTATAGAATATGATGAGAGAACCAAGATAAATTGGTATGATCTCTTCAAGTACTGCCAAGGCATATAGGCCTCATTAGTTGAGTTTTTCAAAGCTACTCCCATTTGTTAAAACATTCAGTTTACTACGGTAGAATAATGAAATGGATTGAATTACAAGCAGGAAAGGGGACGTAGTGTATTTGATACATAGTTTGCTAAAGTCAGAAGTCATTCACAGGGTTACTCATGTAGCCCTGCAACACTGCTCAGTGCTGACAAACACAAATGTGTGGCTATTTAGCCAGTCCCTCTCTCTCTCCACCGCCCCTCCCCTCCATGTTTAATTTAGAGACTAAGAGTCAACATTCAGAATAAAGCTTTGGTTTTTACTACACTGTTTAAGCAGCCTGCCCAGTAGGTCCCTCTTCAGTCTCCAGGTAATGTACAAATGTAAGGTTTGTCAAAGGACAAAGGTAGGCTTCCATTTTGTCTAATTATTTATATATCTGTCTTACCTTGATTAATAATTCCTTGTTAAACGGGCACAGTGTTTCACTGTTTAAAATGTCTCCTGCTTAGGAAAAATCACTCTTCGTTACATGTGTTTAATTGTTTGTTTCTTACCTGTCATATTGATACTGACTGAGTGTGTGATCGTAGGGATAGTAGGCAGCCGCCTGGGTAATGCCCGCATGCGCAGATCCAGTCCCATCCTTCGCGTCGAAACTGTTCTGTAACACAAAATCGAGTGTGTCCTTTCACCAATTCCCACTCCCAGTCCCGTCGCCCAGTCTCTCTCCTTAGAAGTAGTTAAGGGAAGTGAATTGACTTGTTACATTTGACCATAAATGTAACACAAATGTTACAATGCTGCTATGGAATATATTGTTTTCCACAGCAGTTTGGTTCCAAAACAATTGCCTCGTATTTGACTATAATTAACCTGTTTCCCTTCTTCTTAACAAGTATTCTCCTAACCGAAATAACTAAGAAAAGCTTAATTCATAGTTTCTTTCTCTACAGAACCGAGAGCAGATTTCATTTATTAACATTATAAAACAATGACCTAGAAAGTGACAACAAGCGTTTAAACTTTTAATGACATCTTGGCTATTCACAACTATTTCCTTTAATTAATCAGAAATACAATATGCAAAGGAAATGAAAGATGAATGGCAACTTACTGCTGTGGTCTTACAGTAAGATATTTTGGCTGAGGCAAAGGTCTAGAATTTCAGCAGTCAGTGAAATCAATACACACATTAACCCATGCTATAATGATGCCAAAGAAAAAGCTCATTCCAAGGTATATCGATTGTTCTGCACCTCTGTATATGCAACTTTGAACTACCAACCTATCTATATCGTTCATTCTAGTGTCGTTCATCAGATTCACAGAACTGTCTTTTAACTGTAGTATCATGTAACTGTTAAGCATACTTTAATATTAGAGAGAGTTAAAAGGCAGAGCTATGCGTCGATAGTCAGAAAACAGGCTTACGTAAAGAACTACATGTATTTAGATATTTAGTAGAACTACTTAAACTGCTCTCTGTCCTGAAAACATGACTGACTTAGTATAGCAATCTAAACATAACAGCACGTGAATTTTAGTCTTAGTGAACAGTTCCAATTCAGAAGAGAGGGGAGAGCACAGATTTCCTCTGGGGACTCTAACACGCAAGCCAAGAAGCGAGAAGATATGTTTTCGTTAATCTTTTGAGCTGGGATTTGTTTTACTAATGAGTGACAAGAAGATTCTAGGATTGCTTACCAAAGAATAGAAGGCAGAAGCTTCAGTACCATAGGTAACATAGTTTCCATAGCCCTGGGTACTTGTGTAAGGATTTCCATAGACTCCTAAGGCAGCTGCAGAATTGAGCTCATGTCTGGCTGTGGCTAACAGCCTGCTTTCGTATACAGGACAATAGACTGGGGTCTGAGCCGGGGCTGCAGCGCCTGAATCTGTCAGAGTCCTGCCACTAGACTCACAGCAAGTTGTCAGAGAATTGGTGGTCATCAGGAACTAAGGGAAAAGAGGAAAACTTTTTAAAACCTGCAGCTAAATTTTCACATTTGTTTCCTTTCAAGGCAGAGGAAATGAAGGTTTCGGGAAATGTACAGATTAGATATTTTATCAATTAAAAAAGGAAGACAAAACTCTAAGCGTTTAATGAAAATCTCTACAAAGGGGCGGCTACGTCAGGTTTACAGGCTGCTTACATTAAATGCTTTTAAAAGTAACTTTTAAAATGGATTGTACAAAGTGTTGATATCATTTGTCTTCACTTGCAGCACAATGCTCCCCATCTGCGTTTTTAAACCTTTTTTTTTCTAAATCACTCATGCATATTTATTTTGACTGCAGATTTGTAACAGCCCTACATACATCTATTATTAACCTGCGGGTTTCAAATATCCCATTATGTTTCTACAATAGATATTTCAGTAATTTCCCTTTTAAGTGTGTAAATAGTAAACCTAATCCGGAAGATAAAATATTATTCCTGGAGTGTTTCCATGCCCCTTCTCCTTTCCTCTCGCCTTCTCCGCCCCTCCAGTCTCCCCATAACACCCTAAATACTGTATGCTCCTTTCATTTTACAAATATGCCCACAAACTTAAATATCATATAAACAGACTGAGTGCTTAACCAATTTCACGCTTTCACATACTATAAGGGAACACTGCAGCTTTTATCACTGAACGGTAGAAATCAATAATGACTGAAATTCAATCAATTAACGTTTGCGGACAATAGAGTCTTACCTGGGGTGCAGAAGAGTAAGGGTATCCAAACTGAGGATATGACATGGTACAGAGGATCCCAGTTATCTAGAAACAAGAAGAGACGTCTGATCTGCACGCTATTGCAGCCTTGCTCTGCTCTGTTGTACCAATTGATTGGTAACCACAGGTTCCTAGATGCTTATAGGACGAAGCAGAATACCATATTTAATTTACCTACATGAATCTTAAACTTTTTTTAACTGAAAAACATGTATGATGAAAGTAGCATCTTTTCTACAGCTGCAAACTAGAAGTAATTTCTACAAGTGGACTCAGAGATTGACAAACGTGGCTACAGAAATAAATATTTTGCACACACGAAAAAAAAGAAAGAAAAGAAAAGTAGTTTAAACAGGTCAACTCAGACACGCGTTTTATAAGCAGCAGAGACTCTGACTCAATTTGACCAGTCTGCAAGTTTAACATTCATTTTTGGTAGGTTTGAGTTTATGTTAAGAACATACAAAGCAGAGTTTGGAGAGCACTCAAACGTCAGATACTTGAGTTTATAGCATTTTAATATGGTTCTGTAGGACGACTATGAATGGTTTTGATCTCAAGAATCAATATTACACCAACTAAGATTCTTCCCCTTCGTCGCTGAAGGATGGCAAACCCTTTTAATTAGAAATTAATTAATGAGCAGCTGCTTCTTCCCACCCCACCACAATAATTAGTCTCAATTACAAACGAGACGTATGAAGAGACACACGAGTGAGTCTTCATTTAAGATTTAATCAACAGTTAAAATTAGCAGTAACACTGACAATAAACCACATGGCATGCATTTTTGTTTTCTTTGCATCCTTTAGTCCAGATGTGTGATTAAATTTAAAAACACTATAAATATACGTTCCAGGCAATGACAGAAGACATGGGTGTTCACCTCGAAGAGTTTGACCTCAGTATCAATATTTGTAATTTTTTTTAGAAAAGTCAACTTTTTACCTTCTTTAGGGCTCGATCCTGCTATATTCATGCATTGAAGTGAATGGGCCAGTAAGGTGCTGAGAGAATGCAGGATCGGATTCGGACAATGCTAGTTTAAGTTGTTGGATGGCGAATTTATCAAAGAACCGTTTGTCGCTATAGGTTACAAAAATTATTTAAAAATTATAGTCAGCAGCTTTTTACCCGATATTCTGGGAAAACTCACACTCATAGCACTCCTGATATCACCTCAACTCTGCCCTTTGAGATTAGTTACTAAAATAGCTTTCTTCAGTGTCTTGGACTCTGTTTGAAGCGTAGCATTCCCCCGTCAGAGGCGGGTGACCTAGAGGATATAACTTAAACGTTATTGTTTGTGTGAGCATGGCAGGTCAAACAATTTTACAAATCAAGGGCCTATTCCTATCCCCTCTGAAGCCAATGGCAAAACTCCCATTGATTTCAATGGCATCAGGATCAGTCCCGTCATTATTTTCAAGCGCTTTGAGACTGTATTTCGTTCATCTCAGTAGCTCCCCCACTATGGATCTGGAGCAGAAAGAGTCTGTTTATACATGAGAAGTATTTTAAATCGCCCTATGGAGCCAAATCCCGCAGTTTCGCTCCTGAGATTATACTCCCGTTTGATTTAGTTGGCGTGTTGCTTGAGTAGGGATTAAAGGCCCAATTCCATGTGGGGCTGACCATTCCCAACTCTCTCTGATTTCGGTAGGAACTGGGGCGCCTTCAGCACCGGACTCCGGGTACCTGGACTGCAGGAGCTGCTCAGAACAGAAAGGCGAAAGGCAGAACCATTTTACCCGCTCTGTGCAGCAGTTTCTGACACCGCCCTACAGTTCTAATAATCCGGTTTGTGAAACTTTATTGTTGGAAGCCCATGCAGAAGAGACTTGTTTACTTTTGACATACTCCTGTCATGGTAAATAAACAGGGGGAAGTAATCTCCTTTCAAAGAATACCGAATCCCCATGATCTGTACAAACTCCTCGATTTACCCAGGCTACCAGTTCCCTCCTTTTTGTGGGGTATAACGGCATCGCAAAGCAGCATTGGGAGTCACCCTGTCGTCACCATAGGCTTTCCTCTCTAAGGAAGTGACCTCTGCTGTGGCTGTAGTAATTGTCAATAATTTATAGGGAGTAAATTGCTAAAACTAAGGATCCAAAGAACAACAAGCTGCCAGTGTAATGTGGCAGCAAGTTAGCCAGGCATCCGTGAGCCTTTTGGAGGAACTAGAGAACAGCTCGTTGCGCTGGAGCCGTGGCTGATGGTGCAGTGGCGTGCTGCTCCATGGTGTGCAGACTTGCTCGGAGAGATTCCTGGGTTCAGACATGTGAATAGCCCCAGGGTCACACTCTAATTAATGATGATGTTCTCTTCTTCTCCCCAGCTGGAAGACTGCCTCCCAGAAACGAATCTGCCCACTCTGACAGCTCGATTGAGGGTGATTGATGACTATCTGGAGACCACAGTACACATAATACAATATCTGCTGCGTAATTACTTTAATTTACAGATGAAAATACTAGTTGTAGGATTGGGTTAGACTATAACAAGCGGTGTCCTACGGCATCTTAAATAGTTCCCCCAAAACAAATAGATACAGTAAATGCAAATTATTCAGACAGTTTAGTGTCTGTAGCCGGGAGAAATGCTTAAAAAACAGCAGTCAAATGACATTAATACTTGTTTTTGAATTCCGTATTGATTTCTTGAGAGAGTGTGTTTATTCTTTTCTCACCTGCGATGCTAATATCACCTTCTTTCTATGAATAATAATAAACTAGCCAGTGGGGCTTATGCTACAATGAAACTCTTACTTATTCTTTCCAGTTACTCAGCGTTTCCAGAACAGAATGGTACTTTTAGTTATTCATTATTACAGATAACACAATGTATAATCTTATAGAGGATTTTGTGAAAAAATAATTGAAAAAATCCGCGAATGTATAAAAATGATCTTCCTTAAGAGATTTGCCCTGTCTTTTGCTTACATAAACCCTGGAATATTACGCATTGGTGCTGGGGAGGAAAACAGCTGCACTTATCTCAAGAGGGGCTCTGTGCAAAGCACTGTAATTAGCTGATAGAGCTGGAGAACTGTTTTGAGAAGCTGTAGCACAATCGCAGAGTTTCTCAAACTGCATGTCTTGTCTTTTTCTTTTGATACTACTGGAGACGTCAGCCCAGCAGTGTCACCCACAACACAGCAGGATTGATATTTAGATGAGTCGATTAATCTTTACAATACAAGAGCAGATTCAACATTTATATTCCTTGTCTGTTTATATATCTACAATTGTCTTTCACCACCCTGTCCCAGGCAAATGCACTGATACCCGTTTTTTTGCACTGAAGGCTCCCTTATTAATCACTGCAATACTTTGTAATTTTTTCTAGTCTGCCTGTTATATTACTTTACCCTAACTCAGCATTACACTAGTACCAATCGGTATTCCCAAGAAAACTGTCTTTAACATTTTTTAATAATCAACATCATAAAACGGACAGTTTATAAAAACTGGCATTACCTTGTCACAAAGTGTTGCTCTTTTGTCACTTACAGTCTACAGATAATGGTTCTTTGTTGATGAGAAACTCAACGAAGTTATATTTCATCATGAATTTCTAATGCCAGAGCACAAACGTGCAATAAGTCCTGCAATGATTTAAAATCTTTGTGGCTCTTGCACATGAACAACATAACACTGTTCAAATCCAAGTAAAGACGATTAATGTTGTGGGCTATATCCTCAAGCATTTGGAAAATGCAAGCATTTGGTATGTAATAAAAAATTATTCTTGCAAAGCCCTTTTCTTGTACAAAAAGAGTTAACAGCATTTGAGCAAAATAACCAACCGGAGCTATTTGCTAAGTTAAAGAAAGTAAAACCGTCTAAATCAACATGAAGTGCTGCAGAGTTTCCCAAGATAAAAAAGTGCAGACACAAACATATGTTTGAGAGCCAAAGCTTAATGAAGTATGTCTTAAAGGGTTACTACAAACTGGTTGATTTTTCTTCTTCTCAAAGAAACTGGAGCCAATGTTCAGACAAGTTTTATTATGAAAACATGAAACAAGAAGGAAACATCGTGGTACTTGAACAGGCCACAGCAGGTAAAACAGGGAAGCTCTTCTAAGGCTAAGGCTTTGATGGATGTCTTCAGGGACACGATCTAACCGCCGTTATACAGCTACAGTTTCACTGGATATATGCCCATTTCCTTCTGTTCTGGAGGAGTCATTGCCCCGCCATTAAATATTTCAGGGCGATGGTATATACTTATGGGCTAAATAGACGTTAATAAGATCTTTCGGTCGCGTTTGCTTTGTTTTCAAGTTAAAGATTTAAACAACCGTGACTCACTGTCTGACAAAGGTTGTGAAGCTCTACGTGTTGCCCATTTGGGATCTGACATGAAACTGAGGGCAGCCTGCAACATTTTCAAGTGAATTAGCTCCCACAAAGTCGGTATTGACATTAAATAGGTAGACTTTGTAAAAAGTGTATCTGAAGTGTAATTACATATACTGCAGTCTAAATCAAGGGACAGTGAGTTTTTCATATCTCTTGTACATACATATCTATAAGCCCTCACTATGATCTGTGATTTCTAGAGTTATGATGACATACACAGTGATTGCCTAAAAGGGCATCTCTAATATTAATTTACCCAGATTACAAGTACATGTAAAACCAGTTGCTTAAACGTATCCACTTGGAACACTTTTATTTATAGTCTTTACTTAAATCCTCTTGACAATCTAGATCAATGGAAGAAGGATCACATTCTCACACTAGTCTTTGTATTTATTAACTTTTAACACTTAAGAACTCGAGCCAAGATACACACACGCACGTTTTCAGCATCCAGGAGCAGCTGAAGCAGAACATAAGCACTCGCTGAACGGCTGGACGGACTCTATTGTACAATAACATTTCTATGCTCTGTAGATTGCTCAAAGACTACAGCCACTATTGCATGAGCAAAGCGAAGATCACACAAGATTTTTCTTTTCATTTTCCAAAGTGCCTCAGGTTCCTAGGCATTCAAACGCTCCCTTCTTTCCCTCTTCGAGCTGCTGGCAATGAACAGCTTTACAATACTTCAATGTGCAGATAAAACTTTCTCACTGCAAGATCAAATTGGATTCCTTTCAAAGTTTGACCTTAAATCCCGAAATTTTAACTCAGTGCCCTCCCTTAACATACACTAATATCCACACCCCTTTCCCAAGAAATAACATGCATACTAAATTATATTTGTACTCTGTCCTAGGTAAAGACTGCACAAAGCCAAATGATTTATCACAGGTAGTTTCTCTTCTGCCTAGCAGTTAGTTTTCAGCTGGCTTGCTGGTGAAGCAGACTCTGAGGGAAAAAAAGAAGAAGAAGAAGAAGAAGAAGAAGAAGAAAGCCCTATCATCAAAACAAGCAGAAGGTTTCTTTACCTGAGATCACGCCAGGCTTCGACTAAAATCTTCTAGCGAGAGCTTTTCCATTGCAGGGGATCTCGTCTCTTGTCTGCAGTGACTCACTTTGCAGAGAGCTATAGAGAACTAATGTAGACATTTCTCAGTGTATAATACCTGACTGGAGTGGAATAGTGCTTTCAGTCCCTAGGCGCCACAATCACTTCACTAACCCCCTGTACTAGAGTGACGTTCAAGTGAATAGCTTCACTGATCACACTCTTTCCTACTGATTAACACTTTCCAACACGACCAGACACTCAAGTTTCAACTTTTCCTTTGAAAACGGATCCAAGCATTCCTTGATTCCTCGAGTTATAAAAGCTGCTTATGGCGAGAGGGACACCATAATTAATAGCAGGTTAGTAAAATTAGTGCTGCCACTCCAAATGTTGTCCTTGTTGCAAACAATAATTGCATTGATTCTGAAAGGACACGAATGTCCTCCATTTAACCTAATGATCTGCAGGTTGTACACGCTGTAAGGCAACCATCTACCAGAGATTTGATTAGTTGAGCACACATCCAAACTATAGTTTATCTGTACAAGTAAAGATTGCAAGACGCTAAACTTACAGACACCTCTTTTTTAGTCTCCCTCTCTTTTGATGAGTTGGTCTTAAAGGGAATCGTTACCTGTGCAAGTAGGGAATGTGTGCCTGAACCTCTTCAGCTACTGGCCTTAATTTTTTCCATAATTGCTTGGTCAGTATTGTGGATCTCAGGTACTATGCACTGCAGCAATCCCCCAGCTACACATGGACGGTGAAAACCACCTTTCTTCTCCTCCTCTGTCCAGCTTGGATCCATAAAAGAAAGACAATGGTCAAATGCAGAACGTTTCAGTTCTGTAGTATCCTGCAATGACTCTCATCAGTTGAAAATCCTTGGCAGCCTTTTATTAGGGGCCCGATCCTGTTCCTATTGAAAGCAATGGCAAAACTCCCACTGATTTCAAGGGGAGCAGAATCGTAGCTGTGGTACCAAAGCTACGGAAGTTCAATCACCAGCAGATGTAGAAAGGAAAGCTGTGTGCTCATCTAGTGTTTTCCTATTCTTGTTTGTCCTAACGTCTCCAGCGATGGGCAACAGCTTACTGGGATTCTGAGGAGAAGACCATTGGGGTGACCCATTAAAGTCGAGGTTATTCGACTGTGAACTTGCTACACACAAATAGGGCCAGGGTACTGCCAGTGGTCACCCGGTATCATGATGTTAAAATAACATGTAGGCTAATGACCTTTTACTATAGGCTGGGGTGATCAACTATTGCTGCAGGGCAATCCCAAGGAAACTTAGCTGATATATATTGCAACTCTTCAGTGGCATACCGTATTCTACGTTTTACATCAGAACCGCGCTTTCTTTTCTTGGTTGTTCAATAGTGTAAGAACTCAAGACTGTCAGAAAGTTGTTCGTCTGGGGAGGATCAATATCATTTGTGTTTAAATATATAAGCTATAGCAGATGTCTCAATAGGGCAGAAGACGAGAAAAGGGCTTTAGCCTTAAGAAATAATATTCGAGTGTATCATACCAAATGATCTGAGAATGGGAGGGGCTGGGGATGAGAGTCTGAGAAAGGGGAGGGAAAGCCCACTTGTAATCTGATATCTTCATATAGTAATTACAGAACGTGAACACTAATATTAATATGCAACTCTGCATATCAACTTGTTTTTGCCGGAACTATGTCATGATAGTGTCATTTACATGTACCTATACTTACAAAGTTCAACACATATTGCACACGGTGGTGAAGTGGCATTTTAAGTTTGATGAAGGTTATAATAGAAAAGGGTCTTTTCAGATTATCTTTGCGAAAGCAGCTTCAAAGGCACATAAACCACCAAAATAAAGGGAATAAAGAAAAAAACCCACATTTTTCTCATCTGCACATAATGGACAGTTGTAAACACTGCCAGTCACATAGTGATCTTTTGCATTTTAAAACAAAGTAACTAAACCACCGCAACATAGTTCCTGATTTTCCTTCCCACTGTTAGCTTAATGTCAGAAAACATAATGTAAATATCTAATTTCAGAAAACATTACAGCATTACCCGGGGTATTGCTAGCATTCCTACCATTACCCGAAGAATTCTAGCCAAGTCCTTGTGTTTTAATCGAACACATAAAACACCTAAATCCAAAGGTGGGAGGCGCTTTCCCATTCACGTTCCCATTGAATGGAACGTGAGCAATACCTTTCTCATGTTCAATCACTTGTTTGGCTCCATTCTAGTTCCATGAGATGACATATCTGCTTATGCTAGGGGAGCACAGACCCTTCCTTTGGCTGCCCCCTTTGATAATTTCCCTATAATAGGAGGAGTGCCT